AAACGCACCCAGCTCCGCCAACAATGTAAGTAGTATGAATCGATAGATCTATGAAAAACTAGCCTTTTTTATTATGACACCGAAAATAAATATCCTGGTAGTGTTGGGTAGGACACGACTTGAAAAAGAGTTTGTAAGAGTAGCCTCTTTTTTGTACTGAACCAGTACAATGTCCCACTTCAAATGAGGCGAGGCGTACTGAAGCTCGGCAATACATTTGAAGTGACGAGTACAAATATGACATTGAGGCGTACAGAAGCTCGACATTACGTTTGTGTGCACGAGTAGCACCTCCTCTACGCACTATCAATCTTGCTGGATCCAGCATGCAGGACAGCGCTATACACGTAAAACAGATAGAGATACAGATGGATAGTGCGTAGAGGACTTAAATGAAATGTCATGCCTCGCTCTCTCTCTCAGACTTACGAAGAGTGAGTGAGTAACGAGACGCGACTATCGCGACATTTAATGTGAAGTAGTACATTTTAAATTTTTGAGCCGCTCTTACAATTTGGCGTCATGTCCGGGACAAATGTACCGCCTCTTGTAAGTCCTACTCAACACTATATCCTGGGAGTCAAAAGATATGACACCGTAAAAATATCCTGGTAGTCAATAGATATGCCACATGGGCATATTTAAGTAGCTGAATAAATTCATTTTATAATACCTTCATTTTATATTATTAGTAATCATAATGGGGGAGGCCTATGTCCAGCAGTGGGTGTTGTACGGCTGATATGATGAATCATAATAATATGCCATATCGTACTATACAACCAGATATACGACAAAGCCTGCCGACCTTCCTGCGCTTGTTCTTACTGAGACATTTCAAAACGGTTTACGAATGCTGAAGGACTTGCAGTTGCAAATAGTCGACTTATCTTACTTCGTTGTGATTGTGCGCTCCCTGCTACTTGATTGATTTTTATCTAAACACGCTTTGGATATTGGAACACGATTATCAGTTTTGTCAATTAGTATGGATAAACTAGAATTATGTGTTCTCCGAAGCGTGGACAAGTTTGTGTAATCTGTGGTCGCTCCGTTTTACATAGTTCCCGCTCCCATTTACTATAACGAACAGAATGTTTAAAAAACCAAAACCCATACGGGGATTTTTGAATTTACTCTAGCGCGGCAGAATAACATAAGGGGGCACCCTTGCACCTTATGAAGTACTGCCATAATTCCTGAGCAGCCTATGTAGGGTCGAACTAACTTACTAAATTAATTCCCTTGTTTCATTAATGTTCGTTCGTTAATATAGTACTTCCACATATTTAACTTAAAATAACTAAAGACCCCCGGGATGGAATTTGATGCACTTTGGCACAGATGATCTTGTCTATAATACCTTTCAAACAAATGTAGTTTAAGCCGTGGCGGACGTGGGTGCAGCGTCCATACATTTTTGCCCAATGTCCTTTTCTTCAAATGCTTTTACTTTATTTTTTAACAATATTTCAGTTAAACGTTATCTAAAATATCTTTTGACGTTATTAACAGTGGATTGAATAATGCATTGTTATAGGTATATACAGGGTGGCCGGGGAGTTGACGTTCAAGAGTAAAATTTAGATACTTTATGATGAGGAGTATCCAAATCACCCCCATGTATGTTCTACGATTTTGCGTAGTTTTCGAGTTATAATTTTTTTAATGATTTTTTTCGTAATTTTCACAGTTTTCGATTTTTTTCTCATTCTGTTGGACGTTTCTGGTTCAGTTTTTTGTAATAACTGACTAACATAGTCTAACCTAGCACCCTAAAACTTATGGTTTATCTAGGCATTGCAGAATCTACTTAGAATTTGTTCGAAAGTCAAAATTACGATTTGAGCTCAGTACACACAAATTTTCAAAGTATCAAAAAAAATGTAATTGGTGTGATTTTGAGTTCAAAGTGCTTTTAGAAACTTCCTGAAACATTAAACTTTAAAACAAGGCCAAATAAAGATAGGATTAATGAGGGTTTATTTTCTGTAACTGACCTTCAAAGTAAATTAAGGCATTTTTCAAGGAAAAAAATAATTATTTTCTTTTATTTAAATCTTTGCCTATCTCTCAGATATGATGAATTTGAGTAAAACACAGTTGTTAATGACCTAAATTCTACTACTACTTACTTACTTGTGTTTACTTACTCGTCTTGTTCTGCCGTTTTTTATCGACCACTATTTGCCTACTGATACCGCCGCTGCTTACTTGTTTGACCCCTGCTTGTTACTGGATTCCGTAGTGCCTAACGATTTGGACTGTAATTTCTTCGAAGTGTTAGTGATGCCCTACACTCTGAGTGAATATGCAGAAATGCAATATTTCTACGGCGTTGCACAAGGCAACGGTCGTGAAGCAGCAAGACTCTACAGGGATCAACTTCAACGCCGAGGCGGAGCGCAACCTGATCATTACCCTGACTATCGTGTGTTCATTAATACTCACAATACGTTAATGGCAGGCCGCATTCCTGGCCAACGTGGCGGTGAAGGCATTCAGAGGGTTGGTCAGGAACGCAGGGAAATCGTACTGGAAGAAGTGCAACGCAATAGTAGTACAAGTACGAGAGCATTAGCTCGTAACCTTGACATACCAAGATCTTCAATACAGGATATTTTACGTGAGGAATCATTTCACGCCTACCACATACAAAAAGTACAAGCGTTGCAGCCTTCAGATTATCAATTGAGACTCGAGTTCTGTAGAACTATGTTGCAGAAAGAGGAAGAAGATCCCGGATACTTTAATAAAATCTTGTGGACCGACGAGTCAAGATTTGAGCGAACTGGGGTTTTCAATATCCACAATTTTCACATTTGGGCCGTTGAAAATCCACATGCCACCAGACCATCATCATTATAACATCGTTTTAGCGTTGACATGTGGTCTGGTGTTATGAATGGCGAATTAATAGGCGCATTTGAACTGCCATCGAAATTAGACGGCGACACATACAAAATTTTTTAGAAGACAATCTACCCATATTGCTGGAAGATGTAAATCTTGAATTAAGAAGAACGATGGTGTTCCAGAACGACGGGGCGCCATGTCATTACGCGACACAAGTGCGTAGCCATTTAGACCAGACCTACCCCAACAGGTGGATCGGACGACGAGAGCCAATTGCCTGGCCACCACGCTCGCCTGACCTCAACCCTATTGATTTTTTTTATCTGGGGCTACTTTAAAGAAATTGCGTACGCCGGAGAAGCTTCGAGTGAAGAAGAACTGAGAGCAAAAATTGGCGAAGCTGAAACCACTGTGAAGAATAACCTTTTAAAGCTTTTAGGCACCTAAAACATATTTTTTTGCGCAGATGTAGATTGTGTATTTTTGTGGGAGGGCAAAATTTTGAAAATTTGTTTTAAATAAACTTATTTTGTTCACAATTAACTGCGTTTTACTCAAATCCATCATAACTCATAGAAAGTCAAAGCTTTAAATAAAATAAAATAATCCTTTGAAAATGCCTGAATTTACTTTGAAGGTCAGTTACAGAAAATAAACCCTCATTAACCCTTTCTTTATTTGGCCTTGTTTGAAAGTTCAATGTCTCAGGAAGTTTCTAAAAGCACTTTGAACTCCAAATACCCCCATTTACATTTTTTTTTGATACTTTGAAAATTTGTGTGTACTGAGTTCAAATCGTAATTTTGAACTTTCGAACAAATTCTAAGTGAATTCTGCAATGCCTAGAAAAACCATAAGTTTTATGGTGATAGGTTTGACTATGTTAGTCAGTTATTACAAAAAAACTAAACCAGAAACGTCCAAAAGAATGAGGAAAAAATCGAAAACGGATGTTAGGTAAAAATTACGAAAAAAATCATTAAAAAAATTATAACTCGAAAACTACGCAAAATCGTAGAACATACATGGGATGATTTGGATACTCCTCATCATAAAGTATCTAAATTTTACTCTTGAACGTCAACTCCCCGGCCACCCTGTATATAATTGTTTAAATTTACTCACTCGCCGGGGAGACGTCCTGGCATTGAAGCGCAATGGCAAGCGCTAGCGAATCCAGTGCACTCTCTGCAAAGCACACACACGCGGCAATAGTCAGTATTCCACGCATGCGCGCCGCTACACAGTCGCACGTCTTCCCTAGTGCTGCTGCTGCTGTGACGCCTGCTCGAGTGCATCTCTGCGCAATAGTAAACCTTACTGCTTCAACAATACAGTCGACGGACACTGGAACATTCCTCCTCAACAGGTACCTCAGTCAAGTACAGTCCCTACAGAGCACGCACACGCGGCAATAGTTAGTATTCCACGCATGCGCGCCGCTACACAGTCGCACGTCTTCCCTAGTGCTGCTGCTGCTGTGACGCCTGCTCGAGTGCATCTCTGCGCAATAGTAAACCTTACGACTTCAACAATACAGTCGACGGACACTGGAACATTGCTTGTCAACAAGTCCCTCAGTCAAGTTCACTCCCTACAGAGCACGCACACGCGGCATTAGAAAGTATTCCACGCGTGCAATAACAATGTAATTAACGTTTCTGATTGTTAATACAAATACAAGAATGTATATCTATCTAAGACCCGTATTAATAGATCGCTCTCAACTCAGAGACTACAATCTTGAGATACTGTTTTCATACAAAACAGCATCTGAGGTGAGAGCGATCTATATATAATACGGGCCTAAGGCTAAGAACTCATGGAGCGGTTTTTCTCCGTAACCTCCGGGTTGCTTTATATTTCAAAACTCACGAGCCCGCAGCTGTCGCGGCTCCAAGAACTCTCTTAAACTAAACAAAATAAAATCAGACGAAAAACACGCCGTGAGATTTACAATTGCGTTTTACCTACTTATTCACATTCTACGCGAGTTGCGGGCGTGGGTAGAAATCGCGTCGTGAGTTCTTAGACTTAAAGTAACTTTATTTAAAGAATGCAAATAAGAATACTCAAATCTATAGTGTTCGAGAACAGGTCTCAATATTATTACGATAAATAATTAACAAATATGTCATACTCACTTTCTTTTGTGTATCCAAACTCCCTACCACACTGTCCTTTATTATTTATGCCGAAAGTGTAAACTTGTCCAAAATTCGTGAGAACGACCGTGTGCGCTTTGCCTAAAGCAACCTGTAATAATCATGAACAGTCAAGTGAAAGAGAAAAAATTAAATATTTAAGCGTGGATATCGTTACGATTTCTGTGTATAAAATTATGACTGTTAACAAACCTGTATTACTCTTTCATGCCTCAACCCCTGGACAATTCCATTGGAGTCGCAGTGTTGTGAATCCTTTCCAAACATGAGTAACAAGCCTTGTCTAGTAACTAGAGCCGTAGATCCGTGATTGCATGCCGCATATGTTACATGATGTCCCTCGGCCTGTGAAAACCAGAAAGTAATTTAATGTAAAAAAAAAATACTAGAAATGAATCCACACGGAGCAGGCAGCAGACGGGTTTCGAACCCACACCCTCCGCTATCCGGGCCTGACCATTATGCTACCGCGGCCCTAATGGTTGTATCGAATTTCCACTAGTATTTCTTAGGCTGCAAGTAGAGAATTCGTTCCCGGTCGACTTTTCTAATCCCGGGATTTCGGGATTATCTACAGTTGATCCCGGGGTAGCCCCGGAATTGTATTGGTAATAGAAAGTGGTAACAAAAAGACAGTAAAACATATCAAAATCAACTTTTTATTTTAAATCTTTAGTTAAATCTTTAAAAAACAAAACAAAATCATACTTTCTTCTGATAAAATAAACAAACTAGGCACTTCTCTTTCACTTGTTTATCTTATTTTACAACAAACTTAAAAAAAAATAACTTCTTAAACTTAGTGATACATTTTATTTTTTTAAGCAATTAACTACTAGATGTTTAAATCTAAAGAAAAGTTTACTAGAAAAAAATCCACGCGGACCAGGCACCAAACGGGACTCGAAATCGCACCCTTTGCTATCCGGGCGAATGCACTGACCATTATGCTACCGCGTCGAATTTTTCCTAGCCTTAGGCTGCAAGGCAGCGCCATCTCTTTGCATTGTGGGTAACCCACAATGTCAAATGAATACTTTTACAAGTATTAAACATTTGAAAGACGAAATAGCAATTATAGTTGTTTTTATTTTTTAATCTTTAATCTAGATGTTTAAATCTAAAGAAAAGTTTACTAGAAAAAAAACAGTAAAACAGTCTTAAGATTTGTTTAGATATACATACTATAAAAAAGACTATAGGTTGCCCTTCATTATTTTGGCCCGTTGAGGAAGATGCCTTAGCAGAATCTACTTTTTCTTTCATTTCGGAATGTTCTGAAGATAAATGAGTCTTTTGGTTGATCCTCCTTAGGTCTTTAAAATAGCTAAGCAACGCTTACATTGTGCTGAGCTACCCGCTTTATCGACTAAAAATGACTAAACACTGACGAAATATCTTCATCCTTTTTATGCTTGACATCAAAACTTTCTTTAGATGATGACATTGTTTACTTCTTAAACCTAAACAAAAATGATAACAACATTTAAGTCTATGCACAACATAAACATAACCTTTTAGAGCTACAGAAAATAACACTCGTTGTTTGTCATCTATATTTACTCAGACAATAATGCATTGGTTGTTTTTTTAATAAATTCATTGATTATTACCAATTAACAAAAAAAATATTAATACTCACACGACGTAAAGCGAAATTTTTACACACTTTTACACATAATCCGGTACCGGGCGTTAGCAAAAATAATCATTTATTTATTTTGGCTGACTATGAAGTCAGCTGTGTAAACAAGATGGCCGTCAAAACGTCAAATGAAAGTAAGCGCGTTTCGTTTCACGCACATTTTTATCGACTTATATATAAAATATATCAATCCCGAAAATCCCAGGATTCTTCACATTTAATCCCGAAAATTTCGGGACTAAAATAAGACCGGGATAACGGGATCGAATCCTCTAGCTACAAGGCAGCGTCATCTCTTTGCATTGAACGTAGCACACAACATGTGCGGGTTCGGTCCGCGGGGATTTTGTTTTAGTAAAATCTTTTTTTAGATTTAAACATCTACAAGTTACAGCTTAAAAATAAAAATATAAGTAATTTAATGTTTTTTACAAATCAATAGTAGTCATTTAAATAGGTTATCTTATTAAAATATAATGGAACCTGTGGTGCACTGCGCCATTGAGCCCCTCATCCATATTTATAATGGAATAAAATCTACTTTTCATTTTAAATTACTTAACTGCACGTTTAAGAAAATACTCTTTAAATTATTATACCATTTGTTATATAATCTTAAACGTATATTATTTGTGGCCTTATACGTTGGCACCTGGGACCTATTTCACCAAGTCGAAATATGTAATTGACATAAGTGTATAACATATTGTTACAATTGTACTATTTTTTTAAGTCGACATATTTGAAAAATTTACTGTAAATCTTGACATAAAATCGGGGCTGTGTAAGATTTTCGTTACAAAATGAATAACTAGAAAAACTGAGTATACAAGAGAGTTTATAAAGAACGATTAAATTTTTCCCTTGATATCACTGATTTTGTGTTCAAAGAAAAATAAGATATAATAGATCACCCCACTAAAAACCGTCAGTTTACATATGTCGACTTGGTAAAATAGGGCCCTGTTGATAAACACCCCGGCAAAGTTAAAAGAAAAGAAAGCCTGCGCAGTAGCAATTTTACATGCAAACACGTCTACTGCGCAAGTTTATTTGTCTGTGGTTTAGATCGAGAAGTTTGCCGCTCCCTATACGCCTACCTTGAATATTTTCTTCGGCCGCGTCGCTTTCGGCGTCCGTCGGTGTTTACTGGTATCGCCGTCTTCGCCGCGCCGAGCGACGCCAGTGAATAGCGCTGAACCGTTGTCTAGAACCATCACCGCGTGCATACCTTCGTGGCCTACGGCAATCTAAAGATACACCATTATATAATTAATATTTATTGCTTCTTGATGTTAAAAGGAGTGCAAACAAGCATATGACCCGCCTGATTTTAAGCAGCCTTTTATGTTGCTTCTGGCGTGATTCTCTAAACTTAAAAGTAAATTTAACATCAGTCTCTCTTTTTTCATTCTGTATAGAGAATGACAAGGATACACTGTTGTTAAATTTAAGTTTAGGTTTAGAGAATCATGTCAGTATTGACACCGCTACAAACTAATATTGTAAAGGCGAAAGTTTGTGAGTGTGTAAGTTTGTTACTTCTTCACGTCTAAATAGCTGGAGCGATTTTAATAAAATTTGGTATGGAGTTAGCTGCCACCCTGGATTAACACATAGGCCACGTTTTACTGCGGGAAAATATCTCAAATAAACCGCGGGTAACACCGCGGGGCACAGCTAGTAGCATATAAATGGTGTAACACGGAAAGTAAGCTTCACCTTAAGAATACCATAGTAAAATGGTTCTACTTTATATCCCATGATTTTTATGTCATCATAATATTATAATACATATAAGCAGATGGCATCGACTTAATTTGTAGAACATCAATCAAAACTCATAATTTTGTGAGCCAGAATCATCTTCGAGCATATAATTGTTGATTAAAAAGTAGAACCATCACATTGCAGTAAGTTTACAGAATCGTCTTCGGCATACATTTATTTATCAAGAGAACCACGTTAAACCATATTATCACACTAATATTATAAAGGCAAAAGTTTGTGAGTGTATGAGTGTGTATGTTTGTTACTTCTTCACGTCTAAACAGCTGGAGCAATTTTAATAAAATTTAGTATGGAGTTAGCTGAAACCCTGGTTTAACACATAGGCCACGTTTTACTGCGGGAAAATATCCCTTATAAAGCACAGCTAGTAGCATATAAATTATAATACATATCAGCAGATGGCATCAACTTAATTTGTAGAACATCAATCAAAACTCATAATTTTATAAGTCAGAATCATCTTCGAGCATATAATTGTTGATTAAAAAGTAGAACCACCATATTGCAGTAAGTTTACAGAATCGTCTTCGGCATACATTTATTTATCAAGAAAACCACGTTAAACCATATTATCACACTAATATTATAAAGGCCAAAGTTTTGTGAGTGTATGAATGTGTATGTTTATTACTTCTTCACGTCTAAACGGCTGGTGCGATTTTCATAAAATTTGGTATGGAGTTAGCTGACACCCTAGATTAACACATAGGCTTCGTTTTACTGCGGAAAATATCCCTTATAAACCGCGGGTAGCACCGCGGAGCAACGCTAGTATCCTTATAAAAGAATAAAACGAGAATAAATATTTACCTGGACAACTTTACATTTCTTTGTGTTTGGAGCTTCGTTTTTGATGAAAAGAGTTTCCTTCATCAGCGTCCACCGGCCGGAATGTGGCGCGGCCGATTTGTAACCGAGGCTGGCGCCTTTGCCCGTGTAATATACCTAAAGGATAACGGAAAATATACAAATCCGATCTAAATCAGACTGTGGTGGTACACAATCCGCATTGAGATGCGCTACACTGTGTTGTGCTTAACTTAGAAACAAAACATAGCCGCACTTATTGTATCTCAAAGTCTAAGTGAAGCGAGTTGAAATAAACTAATAGTAGAAAAAAAACAAAAATACGCTTTTTAAAAATAAACAAAATATACTAAAAGTGTAGTAAAAAAGCGTGTTTTCAGTTTTTTTTTAAACTATTAATTTATTTTACTCTTTTTAGTTGCAGTCATCAGGAAAAATATATAGAATATGTTAAGACAAATCTAATGAGCCCAAACTCGATATGCTTACTCGTAGGCAGTCCAAGGTGCCATTAGCCACCTTACAGTCCCATCATCAGACAAGCTCGATGGTACCATAATATTGTATTGTCATCTAATCTACATATAATTGACAAGTTTCATGATGATACAAGAATTAGAACTGCGTGTAAATCAGATTCTTAGATTTTATTACATAGTTACATACAAGTCGACCTAATAAAAGCGTGTTAAAAAGTCTTTCCTCCACTGCCTGGTCTACCACACAGCCTTGCATCTTGTGCACGGTAGATGCCCAACTTAAAATCACTTGTCCGGGAACTGGATGCCTATAGGGCGAATTAGGTGCTCACCGTTGTTTCCGAAATAATCTTTGAAGGACAATATGTCGGTTTCATACATTTGTTCGTGTCTAAAGTGCGGTCAGGCAGTGTCCGAAATGAATCCGATACTCCCATTCACTAGCCCCTTCTCCACGTCTATATTGGATAGCAACATGATTTTAGCCCCTTTGAAAATTCTTAATAATGGACTCCAATGAAGTATTTTTTAAGGTTTCAGGTCGCGCAATAAGTTGGCTTTTATGTCGTACATTCGAGTACCTTTCGTTTGTAAAGTTTAAGAACTTCATTGTTGTGCTTCTCTACTTGGTCGTTTGTTGGATAAATACGCAATGCTTTTTCAAGCGCAAACTCGCCGGTAGCTGTTGTATTAGAAACTTTTTAATTGTCATGTTTTTATTTTTTGGCACTTGACAGAGATGACGCAAAAAGCAATGTTTTATTTTAACAACTCTTACTTTAAATTACTGATATTAACATTGCGCAGCCGGTAGGATACGAACCTACGCTCCTAAAGGGATCTATAAATTACTTACATTTAACAGTAGCGTTTGATGAGACCTTAGTCGGCAATACTGCTAGATGCTCACTGTCTAACTCTCCGACCCTCAAGGCGTTCAAGCGACATGATATTATTAACCACCCTTAACATGCCATTCAGCCCTCGGCACGTTTCTCACCTTGGCTTGGATGGGATCTTTAACAACCTACTACCCTATTTACACGTCAATATACATCGTATATAGATATATATCAATATTATTCTATTTACACTCTCCATGTACAGGTCTATATATATTTTATACAGGCACCTATGTCAATATTTACACTCAATATTTACAAGTCTATATATAATAGGTTTGTTATAACCTTGAAACCTCATCGTGTTCAAAGTTCATTATATGACCTTTCTCACAGGTGCAAACACGACTATGATACGATATTCCATCATGCAATGCTAGTGCCTATCTGCCGGCTTCATCATCAGACCTTGAAACCTAATCATGGTCAAAGTTCATTACAAGATTTTTCAAAGAAATCCAAAAACAGCAATGATACATGTTCTATCATGAAGTTCCAGTTCATATCTTCTGGCTCCATCATCACATCAGTTCGACAGTACCATATTATTATATTGTTATCTAATCTACATATAATTGCCAAGTTTCATGATGATACAAGAATTAGAAGGGCGTGTAATTCTGATTTTTAGATTTTATTACATAGTTACATACAATTCGAACTAATAAAAGCCTTGTTAAAAATAGAGATTAGCACAGCGTAGTTATAGTCGCCTATTTTAAAAAATCAGCCAGGTGCGAATCGAGCACGCCCATAAAGGGTTCCGTAGCAGCAAGGAACATAATATGAAAGTTCTTGTGAACTACAAGTATTGTAACTTTGATCAATGTTTTAATAATAGTGTATTTTTTTAAAATTAAGTTATTGATAAGTTGCGTTGAGTGAATGAAAGGTAAATTGCGGTTTACGATTTATGACGTATTAAAAAATTACTTACTAGATCTTAACCAATTTTTGGTGGAAGTTTGCGTGGTAATGTACATCATATATATGTTTTTGTTTTATCATTCTCCTATTTTAAAAGATACAGAGGGGGAGAGGACTCATTTTACCACTTTGGAATGTCTCTCGCGAAAACTATTCAGTTTTTCTAAAAAAAAAGCGGGCAGAAGTGAAAACTTGAATATTAATGTTGTGCATTTTTCATATTTTGGAATAGTTAGGGAATAATTTTGCACGAATTTCTTTAATTATCAGTATAAAAGTACTATCATTTATGTGGTAGAACACAATATTTATTTATTGCGCTATCGTACAGAAACATGAAAATTAATAATACATTAAAAAAGTTTATCTTTCAGAAAAATCAACTTATAAAACAAACATATTACATGAATCACATTTAAGCGCACCTAGAGACATCTATTGTAAAAAAAATGCATTTTCTTCGCATTAAATCTGCCACCTGGATGTCCTAATTACACTTATTATTATAATACGATAAAATAAAATATTACTTTGTTTCGTCAAATATATTGAGTGTCAACAATATATTGTTTTTTTCCTACTTTTGTGTGAAAATCTTAATGCAGTTCACAGAATACATTAACTTACCAAGTTTCAACAATATAGTTCTAACAGTTTCGGAAAAAAGTGGCTGGGACATACGAACGGACAGACAGACATGACGAATCCATAAGGGTTCCGTTTTTTGCCATCTGGCTACGGAACCCTTAAAAAGGAGAATAAAAGCCGAGTTTATAGACGTCAATGAAAGTTTGAATAAATATGGTGATGCTACCATTCTTTGCGACTGCAGTACAATAAGAAAACACATCGACATTAATAAGCAGTAAGTCTTTCTTCATTTAAAATTATTTTCGGGATACATAATCGACAAACTAACCTTGCCAGAGTTAGTGATCAGTAGTCCGAAGTCCTGTCCGGTGCAAATACTCGAAAGCGGATCTTCCTCATTGTCTTCAAGTTGCATAGCCACAGGCGCATCAGATTCCACCGCTCGCCTCGACAAATTGTCATCAAAGGGTGCTCGACCGAGTACAAGCGTTCGTCGCCTCAGTAAATGCACGTTCAAGTATTTGTGAGAAGTTAGCGTGACGGAGTTATTCATTTCCACCCGCTCTTTCGGCGAATCCACATCGTACATTTTTATCGTTATATTGTCCTGCGCAAGAAATAATATTACAGATGGCTGTATGTTAAATGATTCGGAAGCTAATGAAAAATGGACTTTATTAAAATGAAGTTATAAATTTTAGAAACTTTGTAAATCTCTTAATTATTCAAAGTCAAAGTTGGAATTAATGCTTTTTGTGATTTATTGACAGCAAATACAGAGACACTTATTCGCTGGATACAGCAAAAGTGATAGTTCTACATAACACTTATTTAATAAAATCTGGAGCACGATCTTCATAATACAAAGAAAGCTTGTAATACTAACAGTATCTTCGGTCTTACAATCTTATTGTTCTTACCGCAAAATTACCAACTTACTAACTCGCCTAGAGATTACATTACGGACTTCGTCCACCACTAGATATACCTCTTGCAAATTTTCTCTCTCTCTACTAATAACCATTCGCTTCCCTACCTAATCCTAACGCAGGGTTGCTAACCCTACTATATAATATAGTAAATGGGATCAAATACTATATTTCAAAAAAAAAATATAGTAGGCGGAACTACTATATTTTGCTTAAAACAGACTTTTGCCAATAAATGCTTTCTTAAAAATAAAATATACTTATTTCAAATATTTAGTAATTTTTCCCATTGTTTTGCCATCTACTATATTTTTAGAGATAAGAGCTTCGAAAATACTATGTTTGATAGACAAAAAATTGATAACCCTACTAGCAGTATACTCACAAAGTTGGTAAGCATTATGAGTCCGAGCTGATTGCCATCAGTGAACACTGCAGACTTAGGCTCTATTGGTGCGGGCTGGCCGGGCTCCAGGCGGACCAAACCCCTAACCTCCAACGTCTCCTTGTCTATCTCATATACTTCAGTCTTTTTTCTTCCAATTCTAACATATAACTTATTCTGAAATCAAGAGAACTCATCAGATTTTTAACACCTAAAAAAACAGTTTGCAAGACATCATTTTTTACTAAGTCATGACATAATTTTTTACTAAGCATGTTAAATACACATGCCAAAATTGGTACTTTACTTTTCATGGTGTCAAATAGCCTAATGTAACTATTGCTAGAGTTCCTCAATCAGAATTAATATATTATTCATATTACATATCCTTTTTCTTTCAGCATTTGACTGACAAAACTCACCTTACAATATCCTAACCACCCGTGGCGGTCGCTGGCGAAGAAATCCGGCTTATGCATGTACACGTGTTGCTTTATCGAGCTACCGTATCCGGAGCCGATTTTCAATAATCCCTTGGACGTATACACGTAAAGGTAACATCCATCAGAGACCAAGGATCGGACTACCAGTTCTCCCGGGCCGGAGGTTAACTGCGGTGGTAAGTCGACTGGGAAACTGGTCACGAGGGATTGGTGCGGAACGCCGTAGTTCAACCACAGGTTGCGGGACGGAGTGCCGAGCATTATGGACTGCACGCTCCTTTGGAGGGTCGTTAAATTCGACGGTATCTGTTTGGAAGATTCAAAATTAAAATCAATAATTCAGTGTAGGCTGCTACAAGGTCTTAAAAAGGTGAAACGCTATGCCATCGTTTCGTAAATCTATGGCGGAAGACCTTGTTTTGACCAGCAAGAATCTCAGCTCGATAATTTTTTTTCTTCGTTTTATTTCATACAGTGTCTTAAATTTAAAGATGACATTAAAACTTGAAACCATGCACTGATGTCAAGTTAAATCACATTCTAACAGATAGTCTAGTTTAATAATATTTTACCCCAAGTTTTTTCACTTATAATGTGATTTCAATAGAGGTTGGGAAGGTAGCAGCGAGCGCAACAGTGCGTAGGTTTCAGTTCAGTGAAATCCCGTGCGCACCTAGAACTACTAAATTTCGTTTACTGCGCCGCGATTTTATATAACTAATTTAACTGCCGCCATTAAGGTTGGATCACACCGCCATCTCGCGCTAATTTCACAGCCACCGTTACGTTATAATCGCACTCTATGCGGCCACCGTTGCCTTCCCCAACCTCATTAATGATCGACAGTAATACTAATAGGTATTAGATTGACGTTTTAGGGCTATTTTTCAGGGCTACAGTCCCCATTCGGTCATGTCATCGCAGAGGCGCCGGGTTCGCCAACATTCGGGTGGCCATTTTATAATTAAAAAATAATGACTTATGTATTTTCATTCCGGTCCATGTCTTTCAGATACTATTCGTGTTAATAAATAATAAGTATTTTTTGAACTGTTATTTTTATATAAAGTTATATATAGTTTACTATATTTTAGTTAACGTATGCATATTAAAATAATAAAAGTCATGTCATAATGATATAATTTTCATAAATAAAAGGTCATTTTCAAAAATGTTGCCAACCCCTGCGTCGGCTAATGACCTTTCATCGACTTTGTTTTGTATCGCTTCTCGTTCGCCGTACTTTAAACGCTAGACATTCTGTACCTTTTCACCATCCCAAAAAAGCCTAAGCTTTCCAGTTCATAGAAACACAACTACTCACCTGGATGCTCTGGTCAGAAAGCGCGGGCGCGGACATGATGAGGGAAGCGACCGCATTCAGTATTAGCTCCGTTTCGCCGCGAGCGACGGACAACGCCACCAAACAAGATCCACTGAGTGAAGTCAACTCAGTGGGCGTTTCAGATCGGCCTCCCGGACCGCTGCCGCTAGCAACCTCTATCAACATCGCGTGCAGGTTCGATATTATCTGGTAAATAAAGTTTTCACTTAGGACCACTTGCACAACTGTTTTTGTACTGATCGTTCTACTGCAGCTAGTTTACGGAAAAAACGATCATATGCACAACTTGAAACGCCTCAATCTTTCAATAATGTTCAAATTAGATCAAATTAATTACTACGACATCAGAAATATGTTTTTGTTGTAACATACTGTATTTGAATTTTGATTTTCCGTCTCATTAATTATCAAAAATATCATTTAAACTGCGTGTGTTTTCCCAAAAAATAATGTTGGTTTACCTCGTATTTTGATATTGAATTAAATAGATTTTTTTTTTAATTGCTATCAAAAACTTTCATAAAAGTAATCTACTATCATTGAACTACTGAAATATGTATATATTTTTATAATTAGTTTATTAATAATTATTTTATAAGACTCGAAACATCACCCGTAAAATGCAATATATACTAGTGCAAATCTACCTACGCGCCGATCAGTACGGCAGCGGCGCAATTTTGTAAAAGGGCTCTGTAATATAATTTAAAAGCTTTTTATGCTTAAGCCTTCATATATATATATATCTTTACCACACGTTAGTAGTTTTCCAATTACAGCAATAGAGCGTATTATGCGGCATAATGCTTAACGTTGAATGTTTCAAGTACAGCAACGCTTCGCACAATCGATCACTCTCAAAAGTAATGTTTTCATGTGATGCGTGTAATCGATACCAACTCAGTGACAGAAAATTAACAAGTGTTTTTTAAGTTGGCATTGATCGAAATGCTTTATTTATATATTATTATTTTTTGAAAAAATTTTAAAGCTTTCGTTTCATTGTAGTTTTTTTTAAATAATTAAAGTTAATTCAAACTGTGTTAAATTATTATGTATACCACTTTATTTACACTTAGTGAGGTTATTGCTAAATCTATGAATTCTTTTGACGTGACAACGTCTTAAATTAGGTTGCGGCTGGGAGTCACTTATGAAAAAGTGTAACGCTCGGTAACGTTACGATGAGTTTAAGTTTACATGTACAATGTTTTAGTAAACAAAATATATTTCTATAGTTAAAATTTGTGCAATTCTTATTTTCATTCAATTCCTTGTTCCTATTGTGCAATTTAATTATATTCATATCAATAAATATTCTACCGAGAAAAAGACGTTGTCACGTAAAATCTTCGCCCGTAAAACCGACTTTACAGGCAACCATTTTTTTTTCAACACTGAACTTAGCGCACTCTGCTAGTGCATTTGAAAACTAATTCAATTCACGCTTCAGCATATTTCGGCATTGTGCGCCACTGAGTCGCATTAAGCTCTGTAATTGGAAAACTACCTTTAACACCAACGCGGCGAACCGCGGAAGCAAAATTGCGGTTATCTGTCCTGCACTATGAATTTATATCGCGTATGTTGCATGTCGCTCGGTCTGTGATTCCTTATACTTGTTTTCCTATAATGTTTCACACGAACTTCGCGATACCGCCATTTCAATTTCACCGCTGGGAGAGACACGACGTACTTAGTTAGTCTTTTTTAACAGAATACCGCGTCGAAACAAGATGTCGGAGACGGAAACCGACAAAATTATAAATTAAAGGTTTAATGGGCCATCCAGATTTTAAGAATTGAATGAAAATAAGTAACTTGACGTAAATTGACATTTTGATTAAATTGGTGTGAAAACGACTACTTCAATATCGCTTATATTACGCTTTTTCGTGCGGGGATGCGTATTGTTAACGCGATTTGCACTATCAGTATACTAAATGCGTAAACAATTGACAAAAATTAAATGATATGTTAAACAGGATTTTAATAATTTTGATGCAGTGGCGCTTAGTTTTAGAAGTTATGTCTCTATCTATTAATAATTTTATTATTTGCAAGATAAAACTAGCAGCATTAATATGAATTACTTTTAAATTCATAAAAACAGACATATGAAAAGACCATCTGTAAAAAAAACGCACTTGCACTACCATTACTAACGCCATAGAACTGAACTTAAGAATATAACAAGTCGTATAAAAAGCCATACCTCAGTGGGTTCTTGTGCAAGTTCTTCGGGTGTGTGACCTTGTAAAACATCTAACAGAGCCTTCAGAGCATTTTCACAGAACTCAGAATCAGTGAAACGAGCTTGTGAGATGAGTGCGAACACAGTACGAAGCCCGATACCAGTAACCTTTAAATAAAATTAATTACTTGATAAATAAATAAATATCATATTTAATGGCGCAATTACATTTGGTGGTTAGCCCAAGACGATTGCCTATGGAATTCGGACAAACGCCCGTATTCGGACAGTTTTCGTTTTGGTTACCTCTTCTCTTACCTCTTGTAGCCTATGTTCGAGTAAAAACAATGTAAATATTGCAACGGGTGCGCAAATTCGAGTAAAGTCTTTCGTGCACCCGAATATAGCTAACACCCAAATATAAATGCGCCTTTCCATTACTCAAAAAGCTGTGTGAATATCCATTTTATAAATGAGGATTAAAAGTGACCATATTTTTGTATATTGGTAAAGTTTTAAATTTTGTAATCCCAAAGTTTTCAAATTTACGTACATTTGAAAGAAATGCAAATATTTATTGTTAATAAATCCAATCCATGGAAAACATATATTTACACTATAGACACCGAAGCTTGATAGTAGCTGAATAATATGTTTTGTAAATTTGCAGAGGCGCAATATTCATTGTTTATGGTTACGATCAAGGTGTTTAGAGCTAGTTCTACCTTAGGCAACTTGTTCATGGGAACTAAGGCGTTGGCGTCATCGTCGTCGCTGTCTTCGGAGAAGTCGGCGATGGAGCCAGGCAAGTGCATCCAACGAGCGAGCACGAGCCGACGCACAGTGGCGTACACCGCAAACTGGGACGGGTTGCATAAAATAGCTGGCGCATAGCATGTCGGCAGAGCACTTGATGCCTTCAGACGACGTAATTTCTCCTTTTTGCTGAGCTTGCGCTGTGTCTTCCTTTCCACTTTCCTATAAAAATAACTAATTAAATATTATATATAAATTATGAAGACTAAAAATATTACATACATTCAAATACGTATTGTCTCTCAGAATAGACATATTGTCTCTCAGAATACTCAAAATAGTCATGATTATCTGTCTTTTATGGTCTTACTACAAAAAAGTTAAGCACAGTTTCAAATCTTATTTAGGCAAATTTTGGTGTTGATTCTGGCATGATTCTCTAACCTTGAAACTAAATTTAAAGGCTTTGTCCAACTGAACGCGTACTTAGCGCTGCGTATTAGCGTTTTTACGTCGCAATCTTTTCATGTCACACAAATTGTCTAGATTAACCCAACGCTCCTTAACGTAACGTACCATTCGCCAAAGCGTAGTGAAGATCAATAGCAGAGTGTGAAAAGTTATTCGTTATGGAGATGTTTAAAGATTCAGAAGTGGAAAAATTATTAGTGGTACTATCTATTAGCTGCTTATTTCTACAGTCTACAATTAAGCTATAAAGGCACGAAAGTCTACCCCTATAATGGGCTTAGTGACGTCAGCTACCACAAAACGCCAAGGATATGTACGGCGTAGACCTAGATCCAGGTGGAAGTGCGCGTAGCCATAGGTGGAGATGGTGGTCCCGTTGGCTGCGGTAAGATGGTAGCTCGTTGGTGCACGTCGCTCTCGAAGTTGACAGCGGGGGAAAACACAGAGGTCGCTGCCTGTGTCGACCAGAAACTGTGTCCTAGAGGCGCTGTCAGT